TGCGCCTTTATTACTGCATTCGAGCCACATGTTAGGAAGTCGTTTAAATCTAAAAAGTTATTCCTCCCAACATAGCGAGATGATGGCAATTAAGGCTCTGCCTATAAGGGATTGAAAAGGATGAGACCAGTGCATCATCAGTCATTCGATATTCTGATTGTTTTATTGAAGATTTGTTATCTAATATTTAATGTATTTCCAATGAAATTAAGTTTTAAAGTCTTAGAATAGTATGCAGAATGAAGGCGAAAATAAGGCATAGAATTATTGAAACAAATAAATGAAATTTCTCCTACTTTTGTCCTTCAAATCTAATTCATCGTCAGATGATGAATCCGATGACTCCATACTCGCTGATTCTTTATGTCTAAAATACAAAATGCGATTTGATGAAATGTTTGATGGTAAACATTTCAAATCTGACCATCGCAATCAATGTGGGAAATAAATTATGAGAATAATATGGGTTAAAAGGAAAATTATCAACCGATAAAATAAGAAATAATTTCTATCTCAAAATTTTGAAAACTCCATCAGATTAATTGATTTATAAATATTGCTTTGAATGTTAAAGATATCTATAAATGAAGATGTGTTGACTGGCATACCTTTTATCAATAATTGAAAAGCGCCCTTCAGTGCTCGCATACTTACAAGTGGTTGATAGTGTGTCATGTTGAACTGCTTGTGTACCCGGTCGTTTCCAACGTGGGATAATGAGGCGTGACGTTGAACTGCTGAAGAAGTTCATCGGATGCAATGTCTAGACTATAATGAAAATCAACTTCGTTAATCGTTTGTTGTATGTCTCTGAAGTCAGAGTTAGCGATACATTGCTTGATGTTTTCAAATGAAAGCTTTTTGGGAATTAAATTTGCTGATTAAGTAGGTTCAAATAACTGGAAGACCATAAGTAACTGAAATAATTATCAGTTGCTAAAACGAATCAGAAAACCAATTATTTTCATGAGCCTATCTTAATAAATTAAAAATTTTCGGGAAACAACGAATTAGTTATTTGTAGAAACACTTTAAATTCATTACCATTAGAAGTGGGTCATTTGCGCGGTATCTTCAAACGAGAATGCAGAAAATTGATTAAAGTAAAAAACATTAACATATTTGATAAGAAAAGAGTGAAATGACTTGAAACCAAAGGAACAACAATAGTCGAATTTGAATTTTAAACAGTGAAGTAAGCGCTAAATCTGATGAAATTCAAAAATGCTTAATTCAAACACAAATGAAATTGCAATGGCATGGAGAGGGAACGATGATAACATTTCCAGAACGTTGTCTTGTTTAAAAATACCACATATTGATAATGATTCGGATTGGAAATGGATTTCTGAATAATAACAATTTCATGTTTTTTGACGAATTAAAAAAAACACTTCTGATTTTTACACTCCAAGACTGCAGGAGAATTGATTAAATGAAATGATAATGAGCGAAGAAAGAAATGAATGGAAATTGTTTGATGTCACAAGGTGATAAGATACTTTTTTTTTTGATTGAGAAAATGGGAATTCCGATGAAGCGATAAGCGATAAACGTAATTATGACAGAAAACTATCGCAACATGTACTGCTGGTTTGCAATGGCAAAGAAAATGAATAATTTCCTTTGATCTAGGCTCTTTTCCAGCGCTTTCTGAATCATTTTGCATGTATTAAATAATGTTTCTTTAAGTTTAATTTCTGTCCCAATGATTTTTTTCATACTTCAATGTATTAAAAATGAAAACATAGAAATCAAAAATTAAAGTCCAAATGTGGTCATAAACTGTTGTCGCGACCAATATTGCTGTCTTAATTGAAGCCGATAAAACTTATTTTCCAGTAATAAGTCTTTCGTAACAAATGTTTTGTGGCAGATGTTTTAGTTTAAAAATGGTTAGTAAATAACACACATAAACTGGATTCATTCTTGAAATGATTTCTTAGACTACCCAACATTTCTTCAATAAGAGGAGTGTTAACCATGATCAGAAAAATTTTTTGAATATAATATCAATTACTCTCCATCTTAGATCTTTATAAGTTGAAAAGAAAAATAATTATGGCAATCATCAGTTCATGACTAGCTAATCTTATTTTGATCATTCCAAAGCGTCAAAGTTTGAAGAACTTTTATGATATATGGAAGAATTGACTGATGACAATGACGATGGAAAATGCAACAGTGATGGTAATGAGAGCAATGACAGCAATGAAATTGGCAGCATTTGAGAGACGACAACCATACAGACTAGCTGTAGGTTTTATGTTACCTATGAAATGACACAATCACTGATTGGAAGACAAAAATTGATGCTATGGTTTATCGTTTTTGTTATTATATCGTTTTAAAAACCAGTTTGTAACTATTCTTCATTGATTTAAATGAATCATGGATTGGCCGGATCATCCGTTCGTTCGTTCAATTTTCTGTTGCTGGATTAAGTTTCTCAAGTAATCACTTTTATAATAAGCTTCTGTTTCTTGGCTCAAAAATGTTTAGGTTCAGTCTTAATGGGTTACTTTTTGAAAAAGTAAAGCTTTTTAGAGAAAACACTTTTTATTCCTATGTTTGAAAAGAATTAAAAAATGATGTTTTTCATATAAAAGCCTTTTCATAGATGTCTGTTTGAAATTAAGAACAAATGAGTTTTATAATTTGCGAATTATATTTAGGAATGCAATACTTCAACTTAAGAAAATGGGAAATACTTTTACGAAAAAAAAAAAAACTTTACGAAAAGTCGAACTGCTGAAGAAAGAAGGAAATCATTCTGAAGTTAATGAATATATTCACCGATAAAATTTTTCTCCGTGACTGCCAAAAAAAATTTCAACAGTTTTAATGAATTTCAATCTTAAATGAGAAATCTGCGATAAAACATGGATCATTCTCAAACGATAGCAAAGCATCAAAAAGAAGCAAAATTGATGAAAGCATATGTCAGTGATATGATTAATGTCAGCAAGATTCTTTGTCGCGATGCTAAAAATCATATTCTCCCAATGATTACTTCAATTTTTTATATTATCAGTGAACTAAAGAGTTGGACGGGTTGAATTGTAAACACGATAAATAAAACTTATTTGAAATAAGCATCATTCAATTTAATAATAGTAAAAAAGAATAAAACTTAATTTAAGAGTAATGCTGTGCTGAAAGACTGATATCACAAGCATATTTTTTGAAAGGGCCTATACTTGGCTACGTTTTCTTCAACATTTTTCTTATTTTTAATCAAAGATTTCATAAACGATTTTAATCAAAGATTTCATAAATGAGAAATATAGAGGGGAAAAGAAATGCAATAGAATGATAACTGTTTAGGAAAATTTGTCAAATCATATCTAAAATACACTAATTAAAGGAAAATGATTTAAAAAAAAACCATTTACATTCTATTATTTGTGAAATAATATTCATAAACTATGACAAAAAATTTATTATTGTGAGGCTAATGGCTAACCAAGATAAATTTCAATAAATTTTTAAACGATAAAAAAAATCAAGCATTTCTTGATAAAACTGTTTGTGAATATTCCATCAAAGAATCACCACAAAAGTTTTTTCCTTGAATATGAAATCTTGGAACTTTTACTGCTGATTAATTAAAAATAAAATAGAATGACCCACGCGACAACATGATCGATGGCTTTAACTAGACATCAGCTTTTATTCCAAACAAAATTAATGGGTCAAAAAAAATCAAGAATATATTAAAGGAATAAAAAAAATGACTAATCCATACTAAAATTAAAGCTCAATGAAGGATGCTAATGATAATAGCATTAGTAAATATCATCTCCATGATAATGTGCCGGGTGATATCACTGACAGCAAACTTTCTGTGCTGTGCAGTAAAGTGGGTGTGCTGTCGAAGACATTGTTAATGGAATAGGTTAATTAATTCAAATATCTTTGCTGTTGTATAGTCTGCATTTGACTTCTGGTTTTTTTGTGCGAAGACTGAGGAAGGAAAAGGAAATGAAAGAACGGGAAATGATGAGAGACATTGAAGAGTACGGGTAATACAATTTGAATGTCGCACATTGCGGGTTGTCCAACTGCGGTACATTTTTCTACTTCTCGGTGCCTTTTTTAAAATGCTATTTCTTTATTATTAAACTGAACTATCCATTCCTCTCATATGTATTTGTAGTCGAAGGCCAAGTAGAGTTAGAATCTCTGACTGCACTGCCTGAACTTTAAATCCATCAATCTTCATCATCTAATATACGTTACCTTTTTTCCTTCTCTCTTTGTCGATGGTCTAATATTTTGTAATTCTATAAATTCATGTTAACTTGTGCTGTATAAATCCCTTTCAGTTGTTAAATTTGCTCAAGAAACTTTCAGATAATTGTGTTGAAGGACGCAAAGTTGGGTTTTTTGCTGTTCTTGAAAAAGGATTCAAGTACGACTTATATTTATTAATTCTGAAATTACAGATAACATAGAGCAAAGAAAATAATTATGATAAATTGATAGTACATAATCCATAAATCCGAACATTCTAGAAAATATAAATAAGTATGTTTTTGCCAGTAAATCTTGATCACCCCAGTGCTATATATTCCTGTGACAGATATTATTTTTGCTGTATCTTGGAATGTACAGGGAAGGTCAACGAAAAATTTCAGGATCCAACTTTAGGCAGTAAATCAGTGAAATTCATTCATTCATCTTCATTGGATCTTTAAAAAGTTGAAAATGTGGTGTCGCTTTTAAATTTAGTTATTAGAAAATGGATCGATTCATTCGAATAACTAATTGAATTTGAATCAGTTCCGATAATCTGATGGAACTTCTGAATTGAACACAGTTCTTTGAAGTGCTAATTTTAGAGATTAATTTTAGGCTCTAATATTCCAGTCCTTACACAATTAAATTTTTCTTCAATCTAACATGATGATTTTCAATCAGTGTTTAGAACAGTTTCTGAACACAATACAGAGATCACGCACAACAGATACTGAAGGAAAGAAAAAAATCGTTAGACAATGAAGGTATTTCTCGTTTTTTGGCGAGTTGTTTATTTCAACTTTCTTATCAATATAAAACATTACGATCATTTTGAAAAAAAAAAAACATGAGTGATTAAACCGCTCACAGTTTTTGCATTTCTGAAACAGAAATGGGAGAAATTATTTAGAAAAGATTTTCAGATAATCATGGATGCGCTCAATCGTTCATACCAAAACGACTTTGGGTAATTGTTTTCTCATATCTTTTTAAGAAATGTAAACATAATTATCCATATATTTATACATACATAATATAAAGCAATTGAAAAATAAATTAATGAAGCAATTTAACAAATAATAATTTATCAAATTAAACTTTGGTTCACAAACTTTTTTCATTAACTGATCAATAAATTACAATTTCTACATGTTTTGCTGAAAACTCTTCTTTTTTTCTTTTACATGTTCATTTCCTTCAAAAGAACAATATCACCACGGGGATACGAGCAATGCACAGAACACTAATTTAGGAAGAGGAAATTGTGAAATTGAGATTGATTATAAACATACAATTTTAAGAAATAGTTAAAATTCAGTTATTCAAGGTCATTTTTTTAAGAACTTTGGATTATTAGTCCTGAGGTTAAAGTTCAGAAGCTTTTCAGAGATGTAATAAATGATAACATTTCAATGAAGAAATTCAATTATTTGGTGAAAAAGCAAAATAAATTAGCCAAAAAGGATAAGAGCGAGTAAGGTTTAGTGATAATTTATTTAATCGTTTATAGACTATTTCTTCATTTCTTTATTAGTATTTATAATTTGGCTATTTCAACTGTTAGTAATCGCCCATGCATTGACAAAAAATCGTGCGAAATTCTTATTATCGAAAAGAGGCAATAGCGAAACAATTAGTGGAGGAGATGAGTAATTAGTAAATCATATATACTTCGTTATAATAATTATAACTTTTACGTTATGAAATTATGTTACTTATTGATCATAGCTAATGGCCAAAAAAGAAACTATGTTCTAAGATTTTAGATTTAGAATAATTCAAAAAATTTGCCTCTACAAAGTACTCTATGCTAAGTTAAAATTTCATAGCAAAGATTTCGTAACAACTGTCACTGCATCAAGACCGTACTTGCAATAGTCAATGATTGAAATAAGCTTACAGTATCCAAAAAAGATTCTAATTTTTTGTGAAATCGTCTGACGTTTAGTTATGATTTTTTAATATTTTACAAAAAAATAAGAACCATTTACGAACTAATAGTAATATGATTCGATATATTTAAGATCAGTTGAAATTGCGCGAGACGCAGGTGGTGAACAGTGGATACAGGTTGGCTATACTGAATGATAGATTTGGAAAATTGGTTGAAAGAAGTGAGATGAAAGAAAGATGATATGATTGATTGGACAGTGTTATGATAATATAACATTTTTGATTGAACAATCATTCAAAATTTTTAACCATAAGTAGATCATTCTAGCAATTCCTCAAAATTAATTTTGAAAATTTCAAGAATATCATAATTTTCAATTTTTTTTTACAAAAATACAAGCCTTATATCTGTTATTAAGGCTGTGGACAAAGTACACCATTCTCCAATCGATCTTACAAGCAATGGCATTGCTTTATCACTAACAGAAAGATTGAAAATTGCAAATTATAAGGTGAAATCAAAACTGGTATGAAGCTAATAAATGCTTGACAAATTAATATAACTTTCTGAACAGTTTAATTTTGTCGAAATCAATTTTTCAGTTTTCTGATCGTGTGATAATTGAAATAAATATTTTAATTTGCGTTTTCATAGAGCGCCCAATTCAAATATGAAGTATTGAAGAAGGAAATAGAGAATGATCCTGAACTCTTGAAAAATCATCTGCAAAACATGGTCCATGTTGGCTTATCAAGTCATGGTTATCATCAAAAGATTAAAAGAAGAATAAAGGTAAAATTCTTATTGGTTTGTTAGACCAACATGTAGAAAATGTCCAGGATTGATGCGGATTGGTTCTTTTTTACTAAACAGATTAGGCTTCCAACCGAATGATAAAGTTAATAAAGAGCCTAGAATTTAATACCTGAGTGGCATATTGAAACAAAGTTTGGATAATAAAAGTTATCAACTTATTAAACTCAGAGGTGTTTAGCAAAGATTTTCTGATAAATTGCTATAAACACTTATTTCTGTTAGCTATGAACTTCTTCAAATTTCGATTTATTGTGCAAAATTTTTCAGGATCGTCGTCCAAATTTGGAGAAAGTCAACTTATTTAGTATGTTTTGGTCTGATTTATTGTTTGTTGAAGAAAAATGCCTTTCTCGAAAATGCATATTAGCCTTGCAGAGAAAATCACAGTGAATGATTTGATTGAAAAAAGTGTCGAGAATGTGGTATTAACAGAAATGTTATTGTATGATGTTCGTTGTGATACAGCATGGAAAGCAGATTACACGAAGAAATTCAGCAAAGGCAGAATAAAAGGAACAAATGGCGCTGGTTGGGTTCTTCCTCTTCAGAGACTCTGCGATAAGATACGACTTTCATCAGATTTAATTGTAAAATGGTCGCAATCACAATTATTAATTACCAGATAACCTGTATCTATCGAGCACTTATCATAGGGATGTAAAAATTCGACTGCTTATGAACTTTTCAAATGCGACTTGTGATGCTTAGCATTTGCAAAGGATGAAAAAACTGCAAACAACATGCAGCACTTATGTAGGCACGAACATTGCGCATTTCTGTTGATGATAATTGCTTTTTGAAATGTGCACTGATTGCATTTTATTAAATTTTGATAAATTAGAATTTCTTCTCAAGCAGTCATTCATTTCCGTCAAGGTATGGTTCTACATTATTTCAATATTTTGGTGCATTATGTAATTTGTTAAAAAAAAACGACAGGTGGTTGACCTATTGCGCCTTAGTTTATCTATGATCCAGGCTAATTAATTTAGTATAGCGATATAGGTCTCTTTCAGACTGGCATCAGTAGCGATTTTTTTGCAAGAAACGAGAAAGTGGATCTCGAGGATGCGCGCTCTTTCATTCTCTATCAACGACTTACGCGAATGCCGGTAATCCGAATTGCAGTACCGAATCCTTCTTCCAAAAAGTTTAGAAAAAAAGTTTTTTTAAACAAAAATTATTACTCAGATAATATTTGCAGGAACTGAGTAAATGGCTGGAGAATGATGAGCTAAATTATAGGAATAATAATTTAGAAGAATTTTTCATGAAAGATTGGGACGGAATGGGAATCACAAAGCGTATGAATGAATTCATTCAAAATGTACAGAATGATTTAGATCGAGTTCGGCTTCAAGATCGATGTAATTTTCATGTATTATTTTGAGAAAAAGGAATTAGATTTTTCTGTTAGCAATTGTTAAAAGATATCACGGCTTAGTGGATGAAGATAGTTATTTAGTTTACAATAATATTGTGATGTGGGAAGCACTGATTGCAAGTCGAAAACAGGTTTTTATTCGAAGTATGATTGGTGGCATGGAACGCCGGTTTGAAATTCTGGATAATCAAGTGAATCACATTGCTTTTACCCATCATGCATTCGATGAACATCTTGATTTGTGTCGCAATAAAAGTAAAAAATTTGATTAAAAGTCGAAAAAGGATGCTAGGAGATTTTTGAATAGAAAAATAAATCGAGTCAACTCTTTGTTTTCACAGTATTTTCATTTAAAATTTACTTGTGGATAACGTTAGAAACTTGAAATGTCACCATAGGAATCAAATGTCGCGATTCAACTCGTGTAGTACTGACCTATCCAAGTACTGCAAACAATGATTTCATTCATGCGAATTATATTCAAGGTGCACCGCTCTTTAATAAATTTATCATTACGCAGGTATAAGTTTGTTTTATTTCATCTATCTGACTCTGTAGTTAGTTTAATTCAATCTGCCAAGAATACACCTAGTGGAGAAGAGTATGAAGTTTGAAAAATACAAGTTTCATCCTTCCATCAGGCACCCATGAAAAATACAATTGGCGATTTCTGGCGCATGGTTTGGCAAGAAAGGTCACCTTATATCTTCATGCTCATAAGTCGAAAAGAAGATGACAGATGTGCTCAGTATTGGCCGAGGCTAGCAATTTTATGCCGTGTTTTTGCGCTTATTCATATTACAAATCTTATGAAGTAGAAAGTGATTCAATATTAGTAACTGTTATGTTTTCAAGATTTAAACTTTCTCTTTACTCATATATGACAGTATTCAGCAGTCCTATATGATAATTTTCCATGAGATTTATATTTTATTGGATTGTTCTGAATAAAAGGAAGTGAATCTTTCTTATTATCTGCTGAGCGAGAATGAAATTGTTTTTTACAGAAAAACTGGAGATCAAATAACTTATTATGGATTGACAATTATGAATTCGGCCGTTGACGAATTTCGCTTGCCATTGTTTCGTGTTACATATTTGATTGTGGTTGGACCTGAACGCGATGAAGTTTGCATTTAGTCTATCCTCAACTGATATAATATTAGTATTTTATTAAATTTAAAATTCCTGAAGACTTTGGTTGGAAGGTATTATATAATATTCACTATAAATGAAGGTTCTTCCGGCTACTTCAGATTGACCTTTCATTTCTTTTGCTTCCTTAATTTCGTATATATTTGAATCCTTACAGTTACATGTTGAACACTGGCAAGGTGATATGAATAATTCAGACAACGTAATGCTACCTTTGCAACTCTTACGACTTGCTCGCAACTGTTCTTATCCAACAATCATACATTGTCATCTGGGAATAAGTCGATCGGCTACACTGGTTGCTGTTGAAATCTGCATCGCCTGCCTGCTCAAAGGACCGACTTACAAGGTTAGCCAACCACCGGCTGCTCATTTACTTGAGAATTTGGCTTGAATTTAATGGCACTTTTGAGTAAGTAATTTTGATTCTATTATTGATAAGACCACGATTAAGTCAAAAAAAAAAAAAAAAAAAAAATGACGAGTTATTGTTGCAGCACTGCGTGCAGAAGGCAGTGCAATTACTACGATCTCAGAGACCATTTTGTATCGAAACACCAATGCAATATATATTTGTACATCGAGTAGTGCAGAAGTTTCTGCACGATTATGCAGGCGAACCACAAGGCTTCCATGCGGAATATAAGCACTGGATTGAATCGCGGGCCATGAGACCATTCATTGACGATGTGGAACAAAGAGTGAATTTTGATATTCGCGATAAAAGTTTAAAGTTTAGATTTCTATTTGAAATTGAAAAAAAAAATTGAAGCGGCAAAATAAGTGATAGTAATCAAAGTATTACAAGAAAAAACTTATTTTTCATGAAAATCCATTCAATTTTTAAAGGAGGGTGCAGCTTGTTCATATGGAATAGCCTGCGCAAACTTGGTGCATATTCTCAGTTCTACAAATTCTAGATTCCTGGATATCGACTACTCTCACCACGTTTTGATCCTGACTTAATTCGATTGGTGCGACATCGTGAACGTCCGGGATGTCGTCGTGAGACTCACGATTGCGTTGGACAGATGCCGATACCCTTGCAAGATACCAGAGGGCAACGCTTCGAAGAACTGCAGCTAACGAAACGATATCCACGAGGCGATCGATATGATTGAAACTTTGAGCTTATTAGATTTGTGTTTTTGGCAAAAATAATAGATTTGAAACCATTAAATCGTTATAATAAGCTATTTTTACATGTTGCAGTTAAGGATTTATTAAGTAGATTTATACTTTGAATAAACCATATTGCCAATAAATAACAGATTGTCTTCTGGAAACATTGCTATAGCTGTAGTTTTGGTTAATGTGTTATTTTTTAATTACTTTATGATTTCTCTATTTTCTTTTAAAATAAGCAGTTATCTTCTAATTTTTACACTTTAAAAATGTAAAGTTTTTTTTCTGAATTTTTATCTTTTAAATAAATTCTAAAAAGTGTTTTTTGAAGAATTGTAACTATTTGAAATATAATTTAACTTCTTGAAGTATTGCTATAGTCATAGTTCTCTTTAATGCGTTGATTTTTGATCAGTTCACGATTTTTTTTGAACTTTTAATGTTTTTATATACTTCCTAACATTCCAGTGTACTTTTTAGCTAATGGATAAGGTACGAAGAAGAGATAAAGAATATTAAAAATTAATAAAAAACTATTTTAAGGAAAGCAATCTGTAAACACCATACAACTAGCGACAAATAAATTACAATGTATGATCAGATGAATTGTTGTCAGCAAAGAGGACAAGAATCAAGTAGCTTGTATTTAAGATCAATTTTTAATATTCTTTTTCTAACAATTAATCAATTACCTAAAAGTTTTTCTGAGTCAGTTGAACTGATCGCTAAATGAGGTGAGGGAATTTAGTTGAAAGGATTTAATGGTTGGTTTTCAATCTGTTTTCAAGATTGTTATTTGAAAACAGAGAAATGATGATGACATTTAAATATTTACATTTTTATTCTAAAAGCAAAAGTTTATGTATTAGCTATCACAAAACGTTAAAAGTTGTCTTAAAGCAATTTCTCTATGTACTTAGTGAAATTATTAAAACTAAGGCTCATTTTATCATTTTACATTATCTTATATTATTTTTGCTATGATTATTCTGCCTAAAAAAAATTGAAAAAAAAAATAGAAAACTCTTAACGATAAAAACTTAGCTTCGAGCGCTAATGACCATTTTGATTGAAATTTCTTACTTTAGAAGAAACAAAAAGTATATCATACTGGATGATAGATTAGCTAAATGCCAACTTCTCTCTAAAGTGAAATAAAGTTTGTTTTCCAATAAATATAACATCTTGCTGTCATGACTGAAACATTAATACACTATATGAAGCGAAAAGAGAGGAAAATGTTGTAATTTAAACCTAGTGCAAATCGTAGATGGCGCAACATGCAACTTTAATTGCGAAGATACATCGAAAAAACTTATAAAAATGTTCGTTATTTTCATAAATCTTGCCTTACTTTTTTCTTAAAAAGTCACATTTCTAATTGAATTTTTAGTAGATTTTTTCAGACATTTCAACTCTCAGACTTCAATGTCTTTTTTTTTAAAAAAAAAACTTTCGTTAATCATTTTAACAATCTTTTATTCCTCTCAATATCTTCTTCTCTCCTTTTATTTTCGCAGTAAAAGGACTTGGCTTTGAAGTAATCCTATGGAATTCGAAATTAGGAAATAAATTATATAGTAAAGCACTAACACCACTAATTTCCTAATTAATTTTCTTTGCTTAAGTTCATTTTTTATTATTAACTGAAAGTGACACTATGCGATGAAAATAGTTCATTAGTTAACCATTTCGAAGGTTTTTCTTCGCCAATTTATTTAATATTTTTCTTGTGCCCTCATTTATCAGCACTATTTAGTTGAACAGGATATCTTTAACAAAAGAAAATTGTCATTATTTTCAAATGCGACAAATTTAGTTGGCCAAGAAAGTTCCATCGGAGTAAAGCAATAAATTATTTCCAGTGCCTTTGTCGGAATAAACTTAATTTGGTGACAACAAAATAAACAAATATGTCTAAATTGATTAGTAATTTACTGGTTTTGATGCTGCAATAAGATT